TAATTTCGAATTCTATTCTTTAATTTACCAAAAAACCTCCGAGTTGCCATAGGTACTTGGTTTTGTGCCTCAAGGTCTGATTTTGACCTAGGTTGATAACTAGTCCTCTTTAGATATTAAATTTTTTCCTTTTGAGTTAATTTTTATTTCAATCAACTCCTATCTTCTTCTTTCATATGTTCATATTCTTTATTTTTCTAATCTATCTTTTTTTGCCTTATTTATGGCTTTACAAAGTAAGTAGAAGTCTACTTTGTAAAAAGGTAGCATTTAAATCTTCAATTCTACTTTCTTTTGGAATATTTTCTATTTCCTAAGATAATTTGCTAAAATATTTGAAGTAAAATCTTTTATAATATAATAGATTCTTCACCTCTTTCACCTATTAGTCATGTTACATCACAACACCGTAGGCTTGGACCTTTTTCTATTTGTAAATAAGTCAATCTTGTTGATTATTAATTACATTTATTAAATTCTATGAAGATTCATCCCATATTTCATGTATCTCTTCTTAAGCCATATATAACAATAAATACCTTGAAAAGAAGACAAATACCACATCTTCTTATAGAAGTAGATAATAATAAAAAATTTAAAGTAGAAGAAGTCTTAAATTCAAAGCAGTGTCACAATAGGTTGAAATATCTTGTTCATTGGCATGGATATGATATAAGTGAATGCACATAGAAGCTACTAAAGAATCTTGCAAATATAGCAAAGAAAATTGAAGCTTTTTATCAATAATATTTATGAAAATTAAGATAAAGAATAATAAATCTTTGCTATAAAAAAAACAAGATGAAGGAAAGATAATATTCTACTTTTTACTTTTTTTTGGTGCTTTTATACATTTGTGATGCTAAGGAGATGGAGAACTAATAACCAATAGATTCAACTCAAGAGCTATGACTTGTTGATTTATCAAATGAAATATTACGATTAGCATAACCTTCAAGATAATATAATCAAAATGAAGATCTTTAAGAATGACATGTCCTCTTTCAAATACATGGAAAGATATTATGTGTTTGGTATACATGGCAAGATATATCCATCATGTTTTCTTTCATTTTTCTTTTTACAAAAAATCCTACTACTTCTCTTACTTTCTTCTAATTTTTTGTCAATCCTTCACCTTCTTTTTTATCTTCAAATATCATTTCTAACTTCTCCTGCAATTCTACATTAGCTACTTGGAAAAAAAATTCTACTTTATGTGGATTTAATAATTGCTTCTCCTTCTTTAATAAACAAGAATATTATCTTTTATAATCCCTTAATAATTCTATTGCTTGAAGATCATTTTTAAGTCTTTCAATCCATTTAGAATATAATTTTTTGAATTACATAACAAAATCATATAAATTATACTAAAATATTATTTTTAAAGTAATTTTATTATATTAAAAAGATTTAAAATAGCTACTATGAATATCAAATAGAACAACAATGTATTGGATGATATATTTAAAAAAATAAGTTGGTAAAATGATGATTAAAAAATCATATTAAAAATTTTAAAAATTAAAAGAACTCCTAAATTAGTTCTTACGAATTTATTTGAAGAATAAAAAAGGTCCGTAGTATTTTTTTTAAATTTTAAAATCTTAAATTAGATTATTTGATATAAAATCAGTAAGCTATGATTAAAATATTAATTTCTTTTAAAGCAAGGTAAGTCTTAAAATAAGTTCAATATTCAATAATTATTTGTAGGAAAACTAGCAAAGATCAATAATTTGTAATGGCATATAGATCTCTTAAAATAAAAATCTTTTAAAGAATAAAATAAAAAAATGCAGCAAAAAGAAAATAAAACAACAACCTTTTCAAATAAAAAGAAATAAAAGATTATATATTAAATAGTTATATAATATCTAATATTTTTTAAATAATAGATTTTATAAAAAATAATATATAATCTAATATTTTTTAACAAATTAGAATAACATTTAAAAAAGAATTCAAATAAATAAATAAATAAATAAATATATACATATATATATATATATATATATATATACATATATAGTACTATGTATATTAATTTTTAAAAATATTTTGTAATCATTTTTAATCTAAAGATTAATTTGCTTAAAATATTTATAAATAAATATTAAAGTAGGCCAATATAATCTATTTTATTAGTGTAGATGATTGAAAGAATAATTAGATAGTAGAAAAGTCTATAAAAAAAGAATATTTGGATTTTAAGATTAAGTTAAAGATTCTTATTTTTAGATGAATTAGGAAGATTTTATCATGTTGTGGTTTGATTACTATGTAAAAATAATACACATAAATATTTAATATATAATTTACTATATAATAAGGTTAGAGCTACATTATTAAATTTTAGTTAGTCACAAAATATAGTAAGATTAATACTTTGAAATGGTTAGTTTAAAAGGACTATTATTGAAGTTGATTTTATATTGATAATAGTTTTATATATTTAGAGCCATCTTTATTAGACATTGGTGACTCTTGAAATGTTGTTTTGTTTCTTTTATTTGATATTTAGGGCATATATTATATAAATCTTATAAAAAAAAATATTAGAGAGGAATTTTGGTAGCAAAAAGAGTAGTTAGGGCATCCATACGGATGAATGGAGGTGGATGGTGAAAATCTCTATGGCTATTGGCCAAAAGGCATGCTCAATGGACTTCAAGGAGGCTGCTTGAGGCCATATTATGAATTAGGGTTATTCTTTGAGAGGTATTTGAACTTAAGAGGTTGGGATTACAGAGTTTAGGTTTTTTTCTATGGATTTGTTATAAATTTTGTATGATTTAGAGTTTTTATAAAAGAAATATAGGCGCTCAAAATAAAGGTGTTGATTTTGTACCTCTTGTTATTCTTTTGGATATAACGAGCACTTATAGAATGTAATATAGAATCGAAAACTAAAATTGAAGAGAAAACTTTTTTGGCTATACTTTTTATATAATTTTTGATGAATTTTAAATTTGAATAAAGGAGTTATAGGAAGTTGAAGCCAATGCTTATAAGCTAAGAACAGTAAGTGATCCAATTTACTAGTGGTTGTATTACAAACTATATCTTCAGTGATTTGATAAGATTTTGACTTAAAATTACTAAAAATATGTATGATTATGTTAATAAACTTTATGTATAAAATTTATAGCATTTGAAGTTTGGATTTTTGAGATATGGAGAAAATTGTGTGTGGATACTTGTAAATTAGGATTTAAAGCACCTCCTAGGAATTCTAAGATATCAAATGATCTTTAGTAGATTTATAGTTCATTTTTTTTGTAATAAAGCTTAAGGATAAATTCTAAATTATCTAAAAATTTGAGATAAATTAAATAGTTGGATTAAGAGATATGAATTTTTAAAGTTTGGAGAAGAAAATCTTTTGCAAGAGAAAAATGTTTTGAAGAGGTTTTATTACAATTTGGGTATTTTATTCAAAGTAAAGGGATTTTTGGAAGCCAAGATTTTATATATATGTTAAAGATGGAGATATAGAGTTATAGAAAAATTATAATATAAGGATGGATATTTGCAAGAAGATTATGGAGTTTTTTTGAGCTTAAGAAAAATCAAACTTATCGGCAAATAGTTAGTACTGATTTGGTATAGCAAAGGATGTTAGGGCATTTCTTAAATATTTTAGAAAGCTTCATGCATAAAGCTTCTTAAATATAAAAGGATTTTATCAATAGAATATCTTTTAGTACTATTGTATTTTTTTGGCCTCTATAATAAGATTACATCAATTATTTGAACTTGTCTAATAAGTTAAAGCTAAACTCTCTACAACTAGGTATCTAGTGTATTTCCAAATAGAAAATTCAAAATATGATTCAAGTTGTGATTACTAGAGTAATTAATATAATAATTTCAAATATGATTCAAGTTGTGATTACTAGAGTAATTAATATAATAATTTCAAATATGATTCAAGTTGTGATTACTAGAGTAATTAATATAATAATTTCAAATATGATTCAAGTTGTGATTATTAGAGTAATTAATATAATGTATGCATGAGGTACAAAAATTGTTTGTCAAAGGCTAAGAGCAAATAAGGAAGGTTGTGATATATAATAATAGATTAGTGATATTAAAAATTATTTTAGATTACTGTAGATTTTTGTTTAATTTTTTAATTTTTTAATTTTTTTTCCTAATAAAAATAGATTTTTTTTGTAATTAAAGTGGTAAATTTTAAGAAAGAATCATCTTTTAAATACTATTAAAAATAATTAAGAAAAAAAATAATAATAACAACAAAAATGATACTACATCAAAAAAATAATAGAAATAATTCTATTTATGGATTATTTTAATTGAACCGATACACAAAGACAAATGCATATAAATATATTTACATTGATTTACATAATTAGTCAAATTTTGTAAAATTTACCTTGTTTTTTTTTCTTATATTTCTCTTTTTGTAGTCATACTGGTCCAATTCTATTAAAGCACGAGTAGGCCACATATTTATGTTAAAAAAAACTTCTTATAATCCATCTCTTTGTCTAGTAGCTGCCGACAAAGTATGGTAAACAGCCATATAGAGAAGAGTTAGTGAACCCTTCGAAAAGTCGGGTGGAGAAGGAAGAGGTCGGAGTTCATGACCCGGCAGTTAGCCGGGTCATCTGGCAGGTTCAGTTTCTTCGTTTCTTGGTCCCTTAGTTGCTCCAATGTAGTCTCTATTTTGCAATTGTGTTTTGTGTTCGCTTCACAATCTGTATTGGCATATTACTGATGGAAACCTCACCGATGGTAATTCTTTCGTATTAATTTCACTACATTGACGTAAAATTTGGTGTTATTTGACATGAACGTCGGGATTTCAGCAGACAGAGGAGGAGGCTCGTAGTCCAGGGGGGTTCAGCTTGTCGGAGGGAGAGGCATTTTAGCCATCGCAAATAGGAACTGATCGCTGGTGGTGATAGAATGCTGCAGCCTCGTGATGAGGGAGAAAACTAGTGCCGAAAATGGTGCGCATGGATTTATTCCGGTCGGAGGAGATGAACAAAGTGCAGCTCATCATACCAGTCGAGGCTGCCCACAATACCGTTACCTATTTGGCAGAACTTGGTCTTATCCAACTCATAGATGTGAGACTTTATCTGCTCCCGGATTTTGTATTTCATGAGTTTTCTTTGATTTCAACGATTGAGATCCCAGGGCTTCATGTCTTTGGATTGTGGTGGCCAATGTCTGGTTTAGATCTTATTTTCAACATTGACATTTAAGGTCGTGAATGAAATTTCGTTGTGAAGCGATGACAATGTTGCACTGTTAGCATGTTGACGATTGAAGAGTTCGCCCTTGACCATGTTAACGGTTCTGCTTACAGCTCAATTCCGGGAAAAGTCCGTTTCAACGACCCTTCGCTTCTCAAGTATGTAAATTTTGTTGTCATCGTTTTGCTGGGAAACATGGTGGCCCGCAATTCTAATACTTCTCTTGCATTGTGGGATCCGAGAGCTGTTTGTATCGAAAGGGAATGGCAGACCTCCTGACTCCATTTAAACAACGATAGTTCTTCGTAAGAAGTCCGAAAACTTTAAAGAAGGAATTAGGACACTACCTCCTAGGTGCTCCTAAATCAAGGATTAATCACTGCACCAACTAACCTGATGGTGGTAAAATCCTCAAAATCTTGGGTATTTAATTGGTATGAAGTTGGATTGTACTAGAAGTTGCGTCCACGGACGCACATGCTGTACATTGATTTGGTGTCTCTGAGGTTTTTATCCTAGACGAAAAGATGCGAGGAAATGGCAAGGAAGCTGCGCTGGTTTCAAGACCAATTGTTAAGAGCCAAACAGACGCCAGTCTGCCGGCACACTTTGGAAAGAGAACTCAAGCTAGAAGAACTTGAGGTTGCAGTAGAAGAGATTCACGAACGATGAAATTGATCGTGCTGTTCTCTATTTAAATCACAGTTATCCTTAGTTACCAATCCCAGGGATGAAGCGAGTGGGCATTGACACAGCGCACGTTCGGGTGCAGATGAAATTGACGGAGTTGGAAACAGAGCTTCTGGAGTCCAATTGCAACAGCGAAAAACTTAAAAGAAGCTATAGTGAGCTGATGGAGATGGGCTTGGTGCTGCACAAGGTATCCTCATTCAACCCGATAGTTTTCCAGAAGTTGACCCAAAGTAGTGAGTAGGAGAACATGCCAAGTAAAAAAATATGATATCAGTGTGATCTTATTAACGTAGACTCGATTATCATTTTAATTGTTCTCCTCTTATAACCTGGTAAATGGCCTGTTGGTTTCAAGTTATGTGACAATTCAAGAACAAAGAGCACAATCCTTGTGACGATGGATAGACTTGCTTTTGCTGATGTTCCTAATCCTCATGTAGATTGAGTAATTTCTATTGAAAATGCAGACAAGCACTTCTTTCAACTCTGCAAGAAGAACCGCTGACATTCAGCGACGTCAACCAGACTTGATTGTAGATGCTGAGGATGTGAACCATCCCTTTTTGCTTGAGCAAGTTCATGTGAGGTTAAACACATCCACGAGGTCCCACTTGCAGCATTGAGAGAAGTTATTGCATTTCTACACCAATGTCCTCTGGTGCACATGTTGTTCTGTCATGCCGAAGAGTGTTCATGTGCGTGAGCTTTTGTAATTTCACTGAACTGCATGACTAAAATATCTTTGTGGCAGGAGGCTTCAATCAACCCATCCAAGCAAGCCCAATTAGGCTTTGTTGCCGGTTTGGTGGTCAATTCCAAGTGTCATTCCTTTGAGCGTATCCTCTTCCATGCAACTCGTGGTAATATGTACTTCAAGCGATCAACACAGGCTGATTTCGTCGCTGATCCCGCCTCTGGTGAACAGGTGATGCTTCTCTATGCTTCTGGAATGGTGTATAGCCGCCAGATTACCTTGTTTCTTTTAATCAGTCAAAATGATTTGATATGTGACTCAAATGGACTAAATCAGTGATGAACCTGTTTAGACCTCATCATTAAAATGACGTCGAACGTCTAGTTGAGCCCTGGTTGTATAAACGTGTGGCGTGGCGAGTATATTATGATTGGCGTGTACCTATAATGAGCAGCATGTGTCCTCTTCCCGATTGCGTTTGTGGGCAATTTATCACAAATTTGCTCAATGCCGGTGCAGGTTGAAAAAGTGGTCTTCATTGTTTTCTTTGCCGGGGAACGAGCACGACTGAAGATAACAAAAATATGCGAAACTTTTGGAGTCAATCGTTATCCGTTTCCAGAGGATTCCGCACGACAAGGGTTAATGAAAGTCGAGGTGATCAAGTCTCCGATATCTTTGTTGTCAAAATTTAGCCGATTGATATGCGCAAATCCAACTAGAGAAACGTCCTAAGTTCTGTGTGGTCTATAAAATGTTCTACTCAAAGTAGTATACTCATTCCTCATCGTCTAAATTACATGGACTTGTCTCTCGGTCACTTGATGTTATGCTTCACATAGTCGAGTAAAATGCAACTCCTAAGACTTATTCAAGGAAGACTGGAAATTTTATGTGAAAAATCTAACGGAAATCTCTATTTGAATAAAAATTGTGGTACAGGTATCTACAAGATTGTCCGAGCTCCAAGCGACACTGAATTCTGGTGTTGTCCATCGGCAAAATGTGTTCACCAACTTAGGTTACAACCTCGACCATTGGATTGGCATGGTAACGTTATTATCCCTCTTGTAACACATGCATTTGGCTCGTCAGGTTTTAGTACGTATAGACTCGATTATGAACACAATTCACGAAAGAAATTGTTTCTTTACACCCAAACGAGTTCTTAGCTCTTTTGTTCTAGAGTCCACCTTGGAACCTCTGTTTAGTATCTTGTTAGAAAATGATCAAGGGTGGGCTCAATGTCTGTCCAGGTGTGCAATAATGTTTGTCCTTTTAGGAAGTTGACAAGACCAGTTTAAGTAGTCTGGATCAGTATGTGTCACTTCGTATTGAGGCATGGATATTCAAAAGCATCGTTAATTCTCGGGAGAGAAAAATATTCTCAAAGACAGAAAAACAAAGAGTATTTACCTGTCAGAATACTCTCCATCCATCACAACCAGCAAAGTAGGAAGGTGGAACGTTCGTCAAGCACATTGGCTTCGAGCATGAAGTCTAGAAGGTTGGAAGCAGTATTAGTACCTCGGACTGAGTTTCTCATCATCGTCCAGATTGAAGGTGTAGCCTGTGGTGGATAGCACAGATTATATGTGCGAACTACAGAAAAACTTATGTTCAATTATAATTGCAAAAAGAAGGCGGTGTCTGTGAGGCTCTAGTTTAATTAGCAGAGGTATTTAACTGAATGCGTATCAAAGGACTTGATTGCATTGTTGGGGTTGTGTAAAATTCCAACTGATGGGCTATATGAAAGTACTTTTCTAGAGTACTTTATCCAGTTAGTAGCTTTAGAATTGCATTAGCACGTAAGCCACTCATTAGCTGACCACTGCAAGAGAGGTGCGACGGACCTCACTTGCACTTCAATTGCAATGTTTTTGTTGTAGGTGAGAAGAGAAAAAGCAGTATACTGTGCGCTGAACATGTTGAGTGTTGATGTCACCAGTAAGTGCCTTGTTGCAGAGGGCTGGTGCCCGGTGAAAACCAAGCCCCAGGTTAGAAATGTCTCCTTAATTTTCAAGATGCCCTTATGTTTTCATACATTCTGAAGAATGAGAATCTCATGTCTGGGGTTGTCATCTGTTTCTGTCGTTTAGTCCCTTCCAGCTTTCAGTGCGATAGGATTCCTGTAAAATTTTATATTCTGAGGGCCTTATTTTCACACGGTAGATGACGAGGGAATCACCACACTATAAATTTGAAACTCCATCTTGTGGTTTATGATGAAAACGCTTCTCATCAACTTCGAAATTCATCATCAACTAAATCTACATTCTACTCCATAGTTCCCTCATACATTAATAACCTGAACATGCTTATGACACTTAAATATGATCTACTTTCTGTAAGTAGTCTTGATTTCCGGCATGCGTTCTGGCACGGGACACAGATTCAAGATGCACTGCAGAGAGCGACAGTGGACAGCAACTCTCAGCTCAGCTCTATCTTCCATGTTGTGCAGACAAAGGAGTCACCTCCGACTTTCTATGAAACAAATAAATTCACGGCACCTTTCCAAGAAATTGTGAATGCATATGGGTAACTTTGCTGAAGCACCTCCCCTAGATGAGTATCTCCTAAAACTACCTAAATTTATAGTATCCTCTTCGTAACCAGTTCTACAAGTTTAAATGGATTCACGGATTTGGAAAACCACAAAATAGTGACCAGGTAAGTTTCAACAAAACATGTCGATGGAAATAGGAATTCCAAGAAATCTAGAGTAGGCATTTTTCGATCGAATACAAACGACATACACTGTGAATCTTTTCAAAGATCGAGGCAGAGATCAAAGCAGAGTCTAAGGACCAGCATGTTCAAAAATTCTGAACACATTATTTACATACCAGCTTTTGTGTAGGGTGGCAAGGTATCAAGAAGCGAACCCTGGATGCTTCACGATCGTTACATTCCCATTCCTCTTTGCGGTTATGTTTGGCGACTGGGGACATGGCATAGCACTCCTTAGTGCAGCCCTGTATTTGATCTTGAAAGAAAATCATTTTGAGAGTAAAGTATGTAAAATACGGATCCTCATCCGCTTGCGCTTAATTTGATGGAAGTCTTTGTTGAACTTTTCAATTTCTGTGATAAGAATATGCTCGCTAACTAACACCAATGCAATCTATACAGAAACTGGGAGACTTCATGACCATGGCCTTTGGAGGGCGATATATTATCCTCTTGATGTCTATCTTTTCAATATACACGGGTTTCATATACAATGAGTTCTTTTCAGTACCCATCTTTATTTGGGACTCCGCCTACTCATGCAGAGAAAACGATTGCAGGTATATTCTTATATTCACTTTAAAGCACATGTAAGGGGTCTTAACATAAAAGGTTAAATTGGGTTGAGACCGTCCCATATTCTAGATTTACTTTAGTTCTATGGTGAATGATTGAATGATCTTGATTACATCAATTGATTCCATCTGAAGAGCTATATGTTCGTGGAAGGATGTCTGCAGTAGAGTCTTTTTTGAACAATTCATCATATAGGATAACAAATGGATATGAAGTCCCAGTCTAATGCTTTGAGTTCAACCAAGAGTCCAATTATGCGCAGCGATGCATCAAGAATCGGGCTTGTCAAGTGGTCGGAGTTACCGTACCCATTCGGTCTTGATCCTGCTTGGCATGGCTCAAGGACAGAACTGCCTTTCACCAACTCCTTAAAAATGAAAATGTCAGTTTTGATGGGAGTTTCTCAGCTGAACTTGGGCCTTATGCTGAGCTGGTGGAATGCCGATTTTAATCACAGCAAACTTGACTTCTGGTGAGGTTGTCTTTCCCTCACCGTCAATATCACATCATCCTTTTGAGTTGTGCCCAGCACTCTACTCTGGGTAATCTCAGATTCATATCTTCCAAACATGTAGTCCTTGGCATTCTGATTAGTTGCATCTTGTTCTAGTAGAACTTCACTGTTTCGAATTGTCAACATGGATCCGAAACCTATCCGTAGGTGTAGTTACAAGTCCGTTTGACCTGATCTCTGAAATGAAGATATTCAGGCAAATCAGCATTAATTACCAGAACTTTTCCTGATAGCATCCGGAATGATATGTGATGTTCTGAAAAAACATTGGTAAGTACAAACCACTTACTTACGTTGCGCCACATGCGAAAAGACAATTTTCTGAGATATTAAGTTATGGCAGGTATCAATTTGTGCCGCAGTTGTTGTTCCTAAATTCGCTATTCGGTTATCTGTCCATGCTCATCGTCATAAAATGGTGCCAAGGAAGTAAAGCCGACCTCTACCACGTCATGATTTATATGTTTTTGAGCCCCAGTGAACCGCTGGGTGAGAATCAACTCTTTTGGGGTCAAAATTACTTTCAGGTAATACTGGAACATTGTCCACGGTTGTAACCTCCGATTTGAGATTAGCGACGTCACGCTACTGTTAGAATCGCAACTGTCAAAAAGTAAAAAGCTATAAATATAAAACCAGTCTTACAAGTCACATGCTACTAAAGGAATTTGGTAATTCTCTCGACGTCTGATTTTTTGTCACAGTATCTCAAAGTTGTTCTTATAACATGGATGATCCTCTCACAACTGTATAGGAACTGTGTGATGACGTAATTTTTTGTTGGTGTTAGCGAATGTTGGTGATGATAGCATTGGCGGCGGTGCCTTGGATGCTATTCCCAAAGCCTTTCAAGCTAAGAAAGCTGCATGAGCAGGTTCGATTCTGATTTAGATCTCCTTGCGAGTTGTTTCGATTCTGCAATACCCTCTGATGCCTGCAAGATTCCTCAAGTTAAATTTTTCATGAAACAATGAACAATTTCATACTTCTCATCCCAATTGGCATTCAATTTGTGTAAGAAATACAGAGAATGCAAGGTAGGATATATGGTGTATTGGGAGGCTCGGATACTGAATCAGTGGATCTAGAACATGAAGAGGAATTCAACTTCAACGAGATTTTTGTACACCAAATGATTCATACAATCGAGTTTGTGTTAGGAACGGTCTCTAACACTGCCTCATATCTGCGGCTTTGGGCACTAAGGTTTAACTTCTGTTTCCCTCTTATTTGTAAATTTTACAATCGAAAGGCGAGTAAGTGCTACAAATCAAGTAAGGGAGTCAAGTAAGTAAGCCAACTGCTATTGCGATCTGTCGTACTATTTTACAAGTACCAAGTCATTAGTGAGTCCATAAAGTGAAACGTCTGGCTCACAAACCCTTTCTTCGTTTGTGAGGGAAAAAGGATCAACTACCTTTTAGAAGAATGTTTGGAAGGAGGTTCGAACAATTCTATGAAATTCTAAAATACTTCAACATAGAGTCAGACACTTTGGTTTCTCTACGGTTTCAGATGTCACAGATCACCTTACATAGTCTAACAGCCTGATGTATCTACTTTTCTTCTATTCAATCTCAAATTAATGAGAATAGTTAGATTATGTACCGATAAATTATAAATCCTGAAAAGAGATAATACATGGATCAGTTTGGCGCACGCGCAACTTTCCTCTGTGTTTTTCGAGAAATTCCTGGTGCTTTCATTTTCGTAAGTTCTATTCTTCACTGCATACACAAATGAGTTTGCTGCTTTTGAACCCAAGTGCAAATCTGGAAAACTAGATAGGTTGCTTCGCCGTTGACTCTGCTTTTTCTGATATGGAGTCGAATATATAATGACTTGTGTGGAGTGGCTGTTGCGTGTAAACAGGTATTCAAACCCTTTTGTGAGGCTAACTGGATTAGTCATGTTTGCTTTCGTTACTGTTGGAGTACTCCTGTTGATGGAGTCTCTGAGTGCTCTCTTACATGCATTGCGGCTACACTGGGTGGAGTTCCAGAACAAATTTTATGCCGGAGATGGCTACAAATTCATGCCCTTTTCGTTCAAGGATCTCGAAAGCGACAATATTTGATTAAAACATTGGGCTCGCCACGCAGGTAAATCGATATTGACCCAATCAACTTAACATTAAATTATCAACACTTGCTCGATCCCGATCATGGCAGACGTTCTCCACGCAAATTTTCCCGAAGTAACTGGTGATGATGTAAAATAAAGATCCTATGTTTGCTGTGCCAAGCTACAAGAAGCAATTTGCAATTATTTTACACTTGTAAATTACCACATACACACCGTAAACCAGGAATACAGACTTAGAGCTACCCCGAGCCCTGCCTAACTTTATTCTTAATTACAAAGTTTGACTTCGCATATGATTTTTTTTTTTTTTTCTTTTTTAAGTTCCGGTAATTGAGAGAAAACGTCCATAATAGAGTATTTTTAAAAAGGTGTATCATCCGCTTTAAAGCCAACTAGGCACCGCATTGGGCAGACAGCACTTGCGATAAACCCCAATACTGCATTTTTGTGACGACTTTGACTATTCTTGAAAAGATACACAAAGAAAGAAACTATAAGTATTTCACTAATTGATATCTGAGCAAGTTGTGTTAGTCGTTCTCTTATGGAAGTATCTTCTCCCTGATTCATGAAACACAGATATCAGCTCCTGGAAATGAATGTGAGAGCCACGCCACGCCATGCTGAGCCCTTGAAGAATTCTCAAGCGACATGTACCGGTCTCACCTACCAAAACCTGAATAAACAAGAATATGACGGATCCTGGTTCCTTCCTGGCCCTGCGAAGCACTGTGACATGAAATTGTAGGAGAGCATGAAGAACTTGCCATTTTTGGACAGAAGAATTTGTTGCCGTCCTTCGCTGCTGACCGTGTCCGAAGACTTCGAGGAATGCTAAGATCCACACCCCCTCCCACGCCAAGGATTAAGGTCTTCTCTGAATTACCCTTCAACAGCCAACGGGGCTCTTTGTCGGCTCAATCTACGCTTGATGAATCTCTCGTAGATCTAGTTTGTGGTTACGAAATACAAGATTTTCAATACGTTTCAAAACCCTCGCATTGAGAAACGAGCAATAAAAAATCAAACGGGCCATAATCGGTCTCAACATCCAGCTACAATTGCAGAATTGCGCTGATCACAAATGCACTAAGGTTCTATAAGCGAGCCGTTTGTAATTGCCCTAAAAATTGAGCTAGTTCTCCTTCGGATACTAATACGAAGAACAAATGAACCAGCAGAGACCTTAGAGATCAAATGTAGGTAGGTAAATCGACACCGGCTTGAACTCGGAGATAGAGCGTGAGATTCGGCCATGGAGACCCATAAAAAGAGCACTGATTAAATGCATGGTTTGCCATAAGACTTCCAGGGTTTGCGGAGGACTATCTATTAAATGCATGGTGCTTCTGGAAAATTGCTTTGCCACTTGTGATCCCTCGTGAATATCCATTGTCAGCCTGCGAAGATGAAATGAAGACCTTTGAGTTTCAGAACAGGGCTCAGGTTTATATATGTTTCCAGTATATGCGACATCAAGTGATACAATCGTCAAACGTAGTGTAATGGCGAAGCTTCACGAAGAGCTTGTAGAATAGTCACAAAAGAAATGCGTTGCACACCGAGAACTACTCAGATACCAGGAATGACAGCCAGATGACACTAAATCCCAACAAAGAATAACATCGAAGCGATCTACGATTATGCACAAACTTGGGTGTGGAAATATGGCATATAACACCTAAGAGTATCACGATCTGGAAAGAACCCAATGGCGGAGTTACACGAAAACTGATGCTTCCAGCTCGTTTTACCTGATTTATTCCAGGTTTATTAATGTGCAAATATTGGGTAAAAGATGGCAACATTCGATGCAAGAAGAGACGTGCATTACTACTGATCTTCTAGGTGTGCAGTCCTCAGTACTCATTGGTAATCTGTCCAGTTAAGAACGACACTGCAAATCTCAATCAATTCCAGAGAAGTAGAAATCATTGAGCTCAAGAAACTTGATCAGAAATAAGCAACAGACGGAGGGGAATGAGACCGCGAGAGAAAAATGCAACAGTTAAGAATTCAGAATCAAAATTGAGAAAAAGTCAAGTATATCACACTTGGCGGTCTAGGGCTGCACCCGTGGACATGGCCATGAATGATGACAGGGAATTTTAACGAGCAGTGAGAGTAGACGTCAACAAGTTCTTGGATGCCAACATATTGTCCTCCCATTGCTTCGAAGCTACGTATATTCGTTCAAGACTGAGCGTCACATTGCGAATAGCTGGCCTGTCGTCAGGATTCGCAAGCACACACTTTCTGGCTACAAGCGCCGCTCTACATGCACACTCCAGAGGGAAATTGTCTCTAAGCAGTGGATCTATCCATTCTCGAACCCTAGTTCTAGGATCTTTGTCGGAAAATATGGCAGCTATCACCTCAGGCAATACAGTTTTCTTAACAGTGTTCTCACCAGGGCTTCGCTGGAGCTTCACGGCTTCCTGTCCCGAAAGCATCTCTAATAAAACAACGCCGAAAGCGTAAACGTCAAGCTTCGAGGTGATGACACCAGTTTGAGTATACTCAGGGGCCATGTACCCATGAGTTCCCGAGATCTTGATGCTGCGCGGCCGCCCAAACGTCCGCCCATGGTGTAGCCCTTGCGCCTCCCGTGCTGAACTACGGTTCCTGGGCAGTTGTCTAGCCTCTCGGGCACCGGCTAAATCAGGCTCTGTCGCCGTTTCTCCTCGAATTCTCGCAACTCCCACGTTGGCAATCCTCGCGTGAAGCTCGTTGTCTAAAATGATGCTGCTGCTTTTGATGTATTTATGTACAAAAGGGGGTGAAGCATGTTCGTGAAGATATTCGATCCCCTTCGCCACCTCAAGGGCGACTCGAATCCTTTCTGTCCACGCCTTCAGCGCTGTGAAACCGGGGGCAATAGCGCTGCCTAAGCACTGCCGCAAATTTGCACCATCGATATATTCATACACCAAATACGACTGATCCCCGCTCATGCAGCCCCCAATAAGCTTTATAAGACTGGAGTGATGTAGGTTACAAATGCTCTTAACTTCAGTAACAAAATCGATGTCCGCGCATGTCCTTTTCTCCACAATTACGGTGACATTCTTCCCCGAAATAGTCCCACGAAACGTGCCTCCTCCGAGGTTTTTAGCTGGGTTAAAATTACCTGTTAGCTTTTGTAGCTCTTTGTACGTGAAAATGTGTGCGCCATCAGACAGCATACCCTTCAAACTCGCCAAAGATAATGTACTTCCTGAAGAATTTGCAGTTTCTCTAGAAACTTTTGATTCCTTCGACAACTCAGATTGACTGACCGTGTAACTTGTACTCAAATCGAAGCTGCTATCATCCTGTGCTTTCCTCAATGCCGTTTCCGAATTGAGAGTCCATGCTTGCGATGGTGCATATGAAGGTGCCTGTTTCGGCAACTTGCGTCGCCTAAACAAACACATGCTGAGCAAGTCACAGAATCTGAAACCCTATTCGCTCTTGTCCGCGGCAGAAGGTCTCTGAACTCAAATTCATAATTGAGGCAGAAGATCCAGGACGCACTTGCTAGAATCTCGACATCGCCAAAGTACTCTCTCCTGCTCTATGTCATGTGAGTAACCTAAAATCTATTAAAAGGACCTGATTGGTTCTCACTTCATAAATTAAATAGGCCACCGAGAAGGAGAAAACACCAAGAAGCGGTTTTCCTGATAGTACATAAAAGAAACTGCCCAGGGAATCGGGACAACATCAGGTCCGCGACAACCCTAACTTACGTTCCAAGGATTTCTGAATCAAGCGCCTGCTACCTACCAGATGATTTCCCTCTGGATTAGAGAAACTGAAGTAACCCTAATAGAACACAGCGCTTCAGACTGACAAACATCACGAACCCTCTGATAAGAAACAGCCTACATGCAGATCAAAGCAAGGGAGGCATTCCATTTCGACAGAAGTAGGATCGGTAACAGCGACCACAGCCTGCCAAGATAGCATGAATTTAAGTAATCAACGAAGCGAGGAAAAGAGCAGAGGAGAGACGCTCAAGCCAGCCGGATCGAGAAACAGGGCAACTCAACGAATGCAGCTAGCACATTAAAGCCAAATCCATCAGCGCAAGAGAAACACAGGAGCAGACTGACTACAGACGTCTGAAAGCTAAAAACGGAGTAACTGCAGCGATGCAGTCGCTCATGAATCCCCGATCGACGAACTTACAAGTCAGGACAAGGATTGTGATGATCCTGCACTCGCCGCTCATTCCCGCGTTGATGACTGACGACTGAGTGTCGTGGCACACAACTCTAAACAACACAAAAAAACACAAAAAAAAAAAACAAAACAAAACAAAAAACAAAAAACAAAAACAAAAACAAACAAACAAACAAACAAACACAAAAAACAAAAAAACGATTGTGGAGCGGACCCGACAGCCTGCGACGACTCAATGAACTAGAGTTACACCACAATGAATCCAGGATACTCAGACAGAATGTTTCCACAAACGTAAACGAGCACCAGGCGTAAGACAAGGCACGAAGCTGCCAAGGGAGATCGCCAGGGACGATCTAATCACAAGGACCCCACCGATCCTCTCAGCGACAGTGGCACACACACACGACGCTGTTCCTCGAATTGAGAACCAAGTCTGTACAACATTGTTACAATGCGCCCTGCCGGGTCCCGTCTCGCCATGCGCCCGACTGATTCGCTGCACCTGTGCCATCACAGCAAAAGTCACTCCGGATATCGTATCGTCATCATCTAAAGCTGCCGTGTCGGAGCGAGCCCACGCAGTGACGACGTTGCTTACCGTGCTCATAGTGGTGGGCCCCGAAGCTCTCCCTTCCAGTAATCAATCCCCCGCGCACGAGCTCCCTCCTCGCAGTTGCACTTAGCACTGTGCTCGCTGTGTTGCTATCGCACACGCGCTCGCGTCACGACGCGCTGCTTAACTCATTCCCGATGCGGCGAAACCAACCTCGGCGCGGCCGACGCGTTCATTCGGTCGGATCGTTGTTGGCCCCCCTCGGTGCCGTTGCCAGTGTGAATGCGCCCCTTGGGTGATTACTGAGCCCTCCCCTTTAGGACGTTTTCCTTATTGAATAGCTTTGGCTTGATCTTCCCCGAACTTTATCCAAATCCTGTACCCACTACTAATTTTTGAACATCACTAATTTATTCAATGCCCCTTTTATTATTATTATTTTTTTTTTTGGCACAAATCAAACTTTGTTCAATTGTATTAAAAAAGTAGAATATATGCCACTCATATCATTAATAATAGAAGGGAGGAGAAAAAAAGACCTACCATATCTTTTCTAGTACTATAAAATTGCCACTACTCAATTAAGTTAACTTGTGTTATTCAAAAATCTATTTTGGGATATAAAGTCTTATAATTACTCCATCTCTTATAAAATTCACCAAATGCCTTAAGTAACAATTTAAGATTTTTATACGAGGTCTTATGCCAAGTAATTCTATTATAATTGCAAAGGCCTTGCCAAATAGCATGGTCTAATTTTGCATGGCTCTACATTTTCATATTAAAAAATTTATCATTCCTTGCTATCTAGAGGTTCTAAAGCATTATATTATATAATAATGGCCAAAACTTACCCACTTAGTAGAAGCATCTTAGAATATGGTGGGCAAATAACAATTATTTCTAATCTAGTAAGGACCAAGATACTACACTATAGAAGTGATCTAATTACCTGAATATAATGCTAATACACTTTTATGCATATTAAAAGATCAAATATTTTCAAAAATGGTCCATAATAGTTTCTATTGTTCTTTCATTATATATGAGGCATGATAAATCTACTTGTCTTGTGATGTGCTCTTACTACTAGTTTACTACCACTACTTTATATTAGAGTTGCTATAAGAGGCCCACTTCTTTTTGAAACTATTTATGGTTCCATATATTATTCTACTTGAACTTAAACTTCACCAAGAATAGAAATCGTCATTTGTCCTTCACTAAAGTGAGTGACACATGGAGTTTACACAAGAGGGGACTTTCTAAGTAGATAGTGTATTATATAAATTCTATCCAGTCCGTCCATTGGATATGACATAGGTTCCATTAAGATTTACTAATTTTACTATAGAAGAGTAGGATGGCATATTATTGTGGTCTTTGAATGATACATTGAATTTTGACCTTCCAAATTAGGCCTTTAATTATGTAGATAATAAGTGAGAAGGAAAAAGGTGCAAGAAGTGTTTTAAATGCAAGCATCACTTCAAAAACACTTTATTAGTATAAAAGAACAATGATTTATTTATTGGCACTATGGACATGACTTTGAATTATTTTAACTTCTTTGCCATGTAGAATTAATGACATATTATTGACATATTGTACTTTGATTTGGATCTTTACCAATCCAAGAAGAAAAATTCTTTTGATTGATCTATGAAGAATAAGAACTTGATGAAATTAAATAAATAAGTATAGAAAAATAAAAATAAAGAAGTATGTATATCAAAAAGAAACTAAAATAGCTATTTTTAAAAGACAAGGAAACTAGAGATTCTTGAATCTAAACTAGAAAGAAGAAATGAATTGAAAAAAATGAAGAAAGCTTCATTCTTACTTCTATATATACTATCTACTTACGATCTATGTGGCCAAATTTTATAGATCCTCCAAAAACGTGTTGACTTTGCATGACACATATCTTAACTTGTAAGGCAAGTTTTCTATATGGCTACCACATATTTATCTTATTTTGCAAGCTATCAATACACATGATACATAAGTAGCTTGTTGACCAAGTTTCTAACCTATTAATCAACAACAAACATATGTAAAGATAAAACAGCATCTAGGAAGCTTCTAAGAGGCTTCTCTAGAAGATATTATGAAATTAATTTATATTTACTTAATTCTACTTACCTAATTAATGAGTAGGTATATAATCCTGATATTATGTCTCCTCTTTGTATGGACAAATTCCACAAAGAGTGATAATCATATATTGAAGAAGTCTAAGATGTAGCAAATTGTATTTGTCACTGATTTTGTTCTTTATTCTCTTTGAAGATAGTTGATAGATCCACTCAACTATTGATAATGTCTCATTCCAGGACAGTGTTGTGTTGTAGTTTGGCTACCATGTGAAAATAATGTGATTATATATTTAATGTATAATTTACTTAATAACGTGGTGAGAGCCATGTTATTGGATTTTAATTGGTTGTAGAATGTAATTAAATTACTACTTTAAAAAGAAGTTGTTTAAAAGGATTACTATTAGAATTTTTATAACTTTATTTTTTTTTTGATAGTGGCTTTTGAGATTGTTTTTGTTGGTAGTAATTTTTAATATTTAGAGTCACCTTTATTAAACATTGGTGATCCTTGAAGTCTTATTTTGGTTCTTTAATTTGGTGTTTAGGGCATATATTGAATAAATCTTGTAAAAAAAAAGAGTTGAAGAGGGATTTTGATAGCAAAAAGAGAGTTTAGGATATCCATATAGATGAATGGAGATGGATGATGAAAATCTTCATTCCTATTGGTCAAAAATCATGACCTATGGACTTTGAGGAGGCTGCCCGAGGCCATATTAGAGATTAGGGTTAGTTTTTAAGGGCCATTTGAACTTTGAAGACTAGTTTTAGAGAGCTTAGGTTTTTGGCTATGGTTTTGGTACAAATCTTATATGATTTGGAGTTTATATGAAGGAGATATAGGTGCTCAAAGTTAAGGTGTTGATTTGGGAGCTACTATCACTCTTTTGACATAACGCACGCATACGAAGGGCAATTGAGGATTAGCAAGTGTGAATGAAGAGAACACTTTTGCGGCTATACTTTTTGCACATTGCTTGCTGGATTCCAAGTTGGGATGAAAAAGATATTGGATTTTGAAGTTAGCACATGCAATCTAAGGGTAGTAAGTGACCTGATTTACTAGTGGTTGTGTCTTGAACTATATCTTGAGCAATTTGATAAGGTTTTGGCTCAAAATTTTAGGAAATGTTTATATTCATCCTAATAAACTTTTTACATAAGTTTGTTGGCATTTGAGAATTGAATTCTTGAGGTATTAAGAAAATAGTACTTAGATACTTGTAAATTAGGGTTTAGAGTATCTACTAGGATTTCTTAGATGCCAAAAGATTGAGAGTGAATTTGTAATTGTATTTTTTTTTTTAATAAAACTTAACGGTGAATTCTACCTATCTTATAAATTTGAGAAAAATTGAATAGTTAGAACAAGAGTTATGAATTTCTAAATTTCCAAAAGAAAAAATCCTTTGTGGAAAAAATATGTTTTGAAGGGATTTTTCTATATTTTGAATTTTTTGCAAAATAAAGGAGTTTTAGAAGCTAAGACAAGATACATATAAAAGTTTAAGCTAAACTCCCTACAACTAGATACCCACTATATTCCTAGATAGCAAATCATGTGATATGACAGCAAAAAGACCACCTTGTGATTTAATCATTGTTGAAATATTTTTAACTTCCTTCAAACAAAAAATTTACAAAACCATTAGGAGTCATGCTTACTTCCAATAAAATCACCAAACATTGAGAATCTTTTCTTATGTCGTGATACCAAAGGCATTGTATCTCACCATTTATTTAAGAAGGATATGTCATTCTTAAAAGTCTTCATCTCTATTACATCGTCTTGAAGGTTATAATAATCACAATATCTCCTTTGATAAGTCAACAAATGATGGCTCTTGAGTTAAGTCTGCTAATTATTGGTTCTCTATCTCTTTGACGCCACAATTATATAAAAACTACAAACAAAGATAGAAGATAGAATATAATCTTTCATAAATAATATTTTATTTATAGCAAAGATTTGCTATTCTTCATCTTGGTTTTGATGGATGTCATTGATAAAAAGCCTCCATTGTCTTTGTTGCATTTACAAGATTCTCTATTCACTCCTATGTACAATTACTAGTATCATATCCGTACTAATGGATAAGATATTCTAATTTATTTTGACGCCACCTTTAATCCAAAATTTCTTCCACTTTAAACTCTTTATTATTATTCACTTCTTTAGAAGGAAGTAGGGCTTGTCTTCTTCTTAGTATATTCACAATCTTATATGGTTCAATAAGAGATAGGTGGAAGACATGATGGATCTTCATTGACTCTGATGAATATAATTGATAAGCAACTGGATTGATTTGTTTATAAATAAGAAAATATCCAAACTTATGGTAGTCCAATTTATCACAAAAATGAGTAGTCTTGATATTATAATGAAGTAATTATTTCTTATCACCTACATTGAATTATGGTTGTTCTTTTTGATAGGCATTCACATTGATCTTTTGTCATTCTTAAGCTTCTTTTAATTGTACCTTTATTATTGCATATAACTGAGACAAACGATTTGCCAAATCTTTCATCGCAAGATTATCAACTTTTAAAAAGTCAAAAGTATCAAGTCATGGATGGTAACCATAATTGGCAAAGAAAGTTGTTTGTTCCTTAGAAAAATGCACCGTATTATTATAAGCCAACTCTGCCAATGATAAAAGAATTTCTCAATCGTTTTATTAGTAATTAATCATATACCTTAAATACTACTCTAAAACTTATTTTACATGTTCTATCTATCCATTAGTTTGAGGATGAAAGGTTGAAGATAGTTTTATGTCTATCTTTAAAATCTTGAAAAGAATTCTCTAAAATCTTGATACAAATT